CCTGGCCTAGACCCTGCGGAAGCTTCCAGGCAAGAGCCTGGAAGTTTCCCTGTAGGGAAACAGGCTGGGGCCTGTAGGCCCTGTCAGAAGGAAGCTTCCAGGCAAGAGCCTGGAAGTTTCCCTGTAGGGAAATAGCTGGGGCCTGTAGGCCGTGTCAGAAGGAAGCTTCCAGAAGCTTCCAGGCAAGAGCCTGGAAGTTTCCCTGTAGGGAAACAGGCTGGAGCCTGTAGGTCCTTTCTCGGGCTGTCAGGCTGAATCGTCGGCGGGGCCTGTAAGCCTTGGATATCAGGCTTAAAGCCCGAAATTCAGGTTTTTGGCCTGAACGACGTCGGGCCTGCAAAATGGCCCGTGTGTGCATGTGCAGCATGTAACAGTGGTCCACATAGGGGGGGGGTCCACAGGGGGCTGAAGATAGCGTGAGAGGATACACATTAAAGAGGAAAGAGTAATAAGACAGGGTAAGCAGTGGTAAGATCCTAGATAGGAGGGCCCCCAGAATAGATGGGGGGTTGTGTTCGGAAAAAAAATAAAAATAGAAAAACATTTTGCACATTTTTTAGGAAAAATAAATAAATAAATAAATATTAAAATAAAGAAAGGAGTAAGTCCGAGTAACACGAAGGATACACATCAGAATCATAAGGTAGGGAGCTGAGATGGAGAGGGGGGGTAGAGAAAAATCACACTTACAGTTCACACAACGCAGTGCGCTGCGGGGTGCAGAAATTGCCCATGCCAGCGCATGGCCTGCACACATGCAATCGCTGTGCGATGTGGAGTTTGCGGTGCAGTGCCGAAATGTGTGTTGTAGCCATTCATGCGCAAGGTCGCATTTCTCTTTTTTTTAGAAGATTAGCAGAGTCCGCCAAATTCTGCCGATCCATGCCATACCTTCTAGGTAAACAAATCGCGGCGTCCAGGCTACGCACTGGACAACCTGACCAACGCACACTACCCTTAGACCCTTCCAAGCATCATCCTACTCTGTGGCATCCTTCTCATCACTCTCCTTTCCCTCATCGCCATCTACTTCTACATTGCAGCATCCTCCAACCTCATTTTGCTTCATCGCCTCTTGTCCACCGTCAATACAGTCATGAGAGATTTGTGATGAGGTTGATGATGAATCCTACCTGGCTGCAGCATTGCCGACACCTGCCTGTCCCCTCTGCCTGCTCCGGTTGTCAGCTGGAGTATTCCCAACTCCGCGAAAGCAGTAAGGATGTCTGATACGAGAGAGAGAGAGAGAGAGAGAGAGAGAGAGAGAGAGAGAGAGAGAGAGAGAGAGAGAGAGAGAGAGAGAGAGAGAGAG